GAAATGCTATTTCTTTGTTTACAAAAACTATTCCCCAACTGTAAAAAGTGACATTCCTTGTTCCTTGCTGCCAGTTACCTACTTTGTGGATAACCTGACCAACAACCCATCTGGCAGTCAGGTTCCACCCCAGATCACATCAAAGCTCAAGTCAAGGTGAGTGCTTGATCACACAACTTGATAGTTGGGTTGGGGCATCAGGAAATGGACATACCAACAGGATAAGTAAGCATGGGGGTCCTCAAAGCCACAAAGGTTTGGGCAACATGACAGTTTCTTTTCCCCACCAAAAACAAAGATAATATCCTAGGGTTGAAAGAAGTTGGAATCTACCTTTTAAATTAGAGTACTGCTATAGTATAGTTGTTCTGTTTTTTCCTTCATAATATAAAATTCAAAAAAATATAATTTTGGTCAATGCAGGTCAGTATATGCTTATACTTAGCCTTCAATCAAGGTTTCTCAATGAAGAGCTGTATAACCTTGAACGGGGTCAATATGTCTGTTGATCACCACTTCCCTCACCTTACACACCACTGATCCCTTTGACAATCCCCCAATACCTACCACAATCCAGTGATACCTTCAATTGCCCCAATACCCTCCACAATTCAACCGAATGGCCAGAAAACCAACAAAGCACCAACTCTGTGACACAAGCAATGAAAGGCAACAAAATTCATGTTTTGAAGATAATCATTACAAATGCCTTACTGACCATTTATCTGTCCAATGCTATCAAACTAGTACATGCCAATGGTCCTGAGCACCAAATTTAAAACCCTGAGGTGGACAGCAGTGGGACTCTTACACACCATTTTTGGTGAGTAGAATTGTTCTGACATTCACATTCTTTTGATTCTTGCATTTACACAGTTTGTAATCCAATTTTTAAACCTGGAAAACACCTTGAAGCATGTTTAGATGGCAAGCCCCAGTACCTTGATGCCATTGCAGTTCACCTAGACCCAGGGTGTGATCAAAATGATCAACTGTTTCCTTGCTGACTTCAACAAGTTGGATCTCACACAGGTGAGTAGTCTGTCTTTCTCTTCTCATTCTGAGTCCCCCATTTTCACTTTGATTTCACTGGTTCCACAAGGAACTGATTTCTTGAATCAATTTTGTTTTCTTCCAGCTCCTACATTGTATGAACGGTCTCTATCTTATCATAGAGACCCGTTTTTTGTTTTTGATCAAGAACTTTTACCCCAAACTAATCTAGCAGTTTCACACCAAGCCAATCAAGCTGGATCTGAGAATGGGAAGTACCGTTCTTGGTGTCTAAAAATAGTTTGGAAGATCAAAACTGATTATACAAAATATTTTTCTAAGAGAATGCTTGAACAAGAATTGACATCTTATGTTTCTTTTGACACAGGAAAACAAGCACCAGTGAGTCACCGTCATGTGTCATCCTGACCCATGATGGTGAATCTGGAGTCCAATCATGGTATTTAATGGGTATGGTTTCTTTCCATTTCATTTCCCTCTGACCATTCAAGTTCAATGTTATGGATTGCTGCTATAATTCTCTCCTTTAAAAGTACCAGCACCAGTGATTCACCAGCACCAAGACCACTTTAACACATTGCTAATCATCTCAAAGACTGCTCAATTGAACCTAACAATGAAAACATTCAAGTCCTTATAAAAGAGTATGATATTTGAAAGAGTTTGGGTTCAAATTCAGAGCTTGTGTTCCTCTTCATGAGAATGCAGCAGCAGATCACAGTCCTTCAAAGACAAAAAATCTTATCCAGTCTCAATTCCCACAAACAAAAATGTACTTCATTTTCTCTGGAGATCATTGAGTAAGCTCAGCACACTACAACATATATCAAACCCCTCTTTATATGCTTCTTTTTTATCAATTTTCATGTTTCTGATTTGATGAATTTTTTTTAAATTGAACAAACCATTGTGCCAAACAAAAAAGTTTTGATAAGAACTTGAGTGATAATCTTGACTTGTAGGTCAAGCCTGAATTTTTTCTTCCTGACATTTTTGACTTTCTAAAAAGTTTTCTTCTCAAAGTTTTCTGCTCAAACTTTAATTGTTCTCAAAGTTTCCCAAAGTTTACTTTTCTCAGTTTGGTTCTCTAAGTTTGGTTCTCTAAGTTTGGTTCTCAAGGTATTTGTCCTCTCAAACTTACTCCATGATTTCATTTCTTGATCAAGCTGTGTGGAGATCTTTCAACAATATTTTTAATTCTTCAAAGTGAAACGTGTGGAAGCTAAGAGTTCTCTGGTGCAACAACAACAGCAACGTTTTCAAAATACCTCTACCATCCTTTTTCACAAATCTCATCTATAACAACAAGTCTTGTATAAGCTTTCTAAAGAAACTGCCTTTACATACTTTACTCATCACCTTTTGCATCAATGCAAATATGTAAATGACTTGAGTAGATAATTCATTTTGACAAATTAGGTGGTCCTGACTCCTTGGAGACTTTGAATGTTAGTTTGATTGGGTTGAATTTGAGTGTGTAAGGTGGTAGATAAACTATAAAAACACTCACAATGACACATAGTCCTTCAATCAATCCACAACAATGGATGCTGGTGTGATCCATCACCAAGACAGAATCTGGATTTTGGTGTAGTTGCATGACCAAAGCTGTTTGACAAAGCAACATCAGCTTGTTGTTATTGATAAGAGTAGAAAGCCAAGGAAAAGACTTACCAGAATTTGCTCTAAGAAAGTTTCATATGTGGCTCAATGATAGGTTTTGATATTTCAAGTCACTGACAATAGACCTGTTTCATATATCACAGCTAGCATGCTGGAATGGGTGTTGTGCCTTGCTTGTTTCAAAGCATTTGGTACTTTGCCTGACTTGGACTTCATATGGGTTCTCATGAAATCTTGCATTTGAAGACCAGACTTGTCTTAGTGCAAGTGGATCAATAAAAATACAAGGAGTCTAATCACCTTGTCTGTCCGGACGTCTCAGATCGACGTGAGCACACCACGGGCTTCACAAAAAAATCAAAAGTCTTTCATTTGGTCTGGACTGACTGAGTGTCGTTTCTCGCCATTCATAAGCTTTCCCTTTGACCTGTCAATACATTTACGGACTCTTGATCCGATCCACCGGTCAAGCAGTTCATGCATTCACTGAACCTCAGCCACTACATGGGCATAGTTTCCCATTGACATCTTTGCTGTGTCTTGTTATCTGCTTCGGCCGTTTTGAAGATACTATAGATTAGATGAATGTTTTAACATGTACCACTGGAAAAGGCAGAACAAATCCCATTGTCTGACCACTCTGTATTTGAGATTGGGTTAGTGTCTCTTGTCCTTTGCTTCTAACGTCCTCTTTCAAAGGAAATATGAATTGCATCACCCACAGCGAGGTGCCCATAGCGTACTTTTTATACTCCATAGTGTACTGAAATGAAGTGAAGACAACTTCAATACATTCTTTGAGTCATCACGAGAGCAACTCTGTCAAGTACTTTTGGTCGCTCAGCATCCCATCCATTAAAATTGGGCACTGGGATAGGAATTGGTAACCTCGGATTGCAAGTGTCCTTGGACACTGGCTGGTTGGTCGCGGATCTTTCGGATATCGGGCGATGTTTCAACTTTGTTCTAGTCCTCTCTAGCTCGCAAATCACGTGAAGTGAAGAATTGGAAACGAGGTTCACCTGGTAAATCCCGTAAAGCAAACAATGCTTTGGTGGCGGCAGTCTTCCAAAGCGAATGCAGCATCTTGCCGTGCAATATCCACCTTTCTCCGAGCTCTTTTGGAGTACAACACACTCAAAAGCTTCCCACCTCCACCTACGGTAGACGAACATACTACCTTAATACAACCAACTAAAGAAACAATCATGTCGGATCAAAGAGTCTTTCTGCCCGAGCCTGAAACTGTTGTCTCAAAAGAAGATCGATGGGCTAACACAAAAGCCATGATCTTGGCCGACCTCCAAAAATATGGTGTTACACGATTTACCTTCGATTGGACACTTCAAGAAGGCTACGAGTGGAATCGTATCATGACAACCTTTACTTTGAAACACTGGCTACATGCAAAACAACAAGGGATGTTCTCAAAGTTATCAATCAATCCCTCACACACCACTGAAGTACAACTAGAAGGGATAATTGCTAGATGGATTCGTGGTCGTGCAACTGAGATTCGATCTGGAAGGAATGATCCTAAAAAACGCCGGGTCGTAGAAAACAACAAAAAGAAAAGGGCGGTGAGTGATTTATACGTTCTCAGAAATAGATTATATTACTGATACACATGTGTGATATTGCTTGTCCACCTTATCCACAGTTGTTCAAATATCGACGCGATTCGGCCAAGCGTCATCTTGATGCGAGCTGGACCGAGTTAATTACAGATGCTGATTGTTGCTCTGAGACTGAGTACGAACCTGATCAGATAAGATATGAGAAGATTGGATTAGTTTGGCGAAGTGAGCAGTACTCAGCTTTCCTGCATTCCATAGATCGCCTTTCTTTTAAATATAAGGCTCAACTTCACGGCAATCGACTCGCCGCCCAAAGATTTGACCAATGTCGAATCCCTGGATCCAAATACAATCACAAAGCCGCAGTCTGTTGCGGGCTTCCACAAAACTGCTATGACCCTGTTTGGTTCAACAGTCTTGATATCGACAAAAGGGCTAAGCTGAAGGCACATCCACCCTCCGAATTGATGAACACTCTGGCTACTCAAGTCAAAAAGAAACTGAATGAGTCTTAGTGGTGAACAATGGTGGTCATGTTGATGGAGATTTAGTTTCCTTTGTTGTTGTAGAATGCGCTCTTCTTTGAGCCTCGATAATTCGAGAATTTTCAAACCTACCATATAATTTTACTCAAGATTTGACTAGATTATGTAAATAAATATACTTTGTGGTTTTGTTTTATGAGAAAGTGTGATCAACTGGCAAAAATATATTGTCATTTGAATACGGGAAATGATAGATACATATGTCATCCAGATAAAAGCAATGGATTGTGATCAATAGAACTTAGTTACCAAAACCGGCTAAACTGGAAGTCATGTCAATGATTGCCTAGATGAAGGAGAATGATTAGAACAAAGACAAGACAGAAATAGTTGGAGAAATATTTGGGAATTACGGACCATACTCCTGAGACCGACGGTGATGTTTGTGGACTCATGGATCTCAAATGTATCAGGAGGGTTTTCAGCAACAACACAGTGACCATAAAGGTGGTCAAGATTGATACATTGTATGACGGGTGACTCACGATAGAGAACATCCGCTTTCAAATGTGGCAAGTGGCGATATGGATTTCGCAACTGATCAGCACCTTGCAGGGGGCGAAATGAGTCAACGATTAAAAGCAGAGTTGAATCTTTGACCAAGCGAATTATGTGTCGGATGGTGCCAAATTTGAATTGACTGTTATTGTGGAGCTGAACACAGCTGTTTCCTTGATGGATTTCACGTGGTGAATAGATCTTGCCGGCATGTTTCCAGTATGATGTTGTTTGAAGCGCTGGGGCGAGATCAGTGTCAGAATGACCCATGGTGACGAGAGTGGTCATAATAGAGGGAATGATTTCACTCGGTGGTGAGAAAGTGCGCCATTTAGCTGCAGGGGTATGGAAGAACTCGTCCAGGCCTAGGTTGTTCCAATCTTGCTGGGACATGTTGGTGAGCATATTGCGAAAGAATCCCCTTTGTGTGTGTGCACGGACCATGGTCTTACCAACAGTAGCTACAATAATAATAAGATGATGATAAGAGACCATTCTGAAATATTTGAAACAGGGAATGAAGACAAAAAACTGACCTGAGTGAGTCTATTTTGGCGTTTGGACAAGACTGCCAATAATACGCTCCCCCGTCCATGCCGAGGTATACGGAGGAGGACCAAATTGGCGACATTGGTCAGGAATATGTTGAGCAAAATGCATGTTAGGTGTTGATCGGACCCCAGGCCAAGCTGCTTGTAGATGTTCACGGAGGTGCTTCAGAGTAATTTCAAGCTTCTTGATGTCAGTCTCCTTCATCACCCGCGAAAAAGATATATTGATAATCTGGACGATTAGGATGAGTGCACGATGTAATTTGAAGGCATTCGACTCAGGCTCAGCATTATGATGATATGGAACAAGAGAAATCACCATAAAGACTGTATATAAAACTATCCAATCAGCTGCCTTGGGAGTACCACAGCTTGCAGTCCCAAAAGTAGCTGGAATGTGGGTAAGCCATGACGGAACAGGGGTATTCGAGATGGTGTAGTGTACTAGGTCAAGCTCATGAGGTGTTATAGATGGACCATTTGGAGGTGTGACTGTGCTGGCGGTTGAGTGCAATGAATCAGATGGATGTTGAGAAGAACTGTCTGTTTCTTCATCATTTGACATGATTGTGTCTTGCATTGGTTTTTTCGCTGCACGAGAATATTGGGTACGGCTGCTGGAAGTCTCGCTATCCGAAGGCTGGCTGTCACTACCAGCAGACGATTCCAGTGGGATATCGGGTGTGGGCCAGAGTGGTGCAGGGTAGGGTTTCAAATTCTCGGGAGGGAGATCGTGGGTACCTGAGTAAGCCAAATTAGTCTTTTGTTTCTCGAGCTCCTTTGCTGCTATAGGTAGACAAATGAATGTTGTTGAGAAATCTTTGAGAATCCCCAGCGCAAGACAATGCATGATGTCAATTGTTGTAAATCGGGTTGGCTGCCAGTAAGGTAACTTCAAGAAAGGTGTAGCTCGTACACCATTCTTTTTGGCGAGTTTTTGCTGTAGCGAGGCAGAGGGGGCTGCAAGCCATGCTTCTGATTGAGTTTTAAATTCAGATTTATTTCGTGGGCGATAAGTTTTGCTGTTGACTTGATCAATATCAGCGTGTGGTATATAACAGTTATTGCAGAAAAGAGTAGCATTATGTGCGACAAAACCAGCAAGTTTACTCATTGCAGGTGAATCAGCAATTAGAGGCCACATAGCTGCTCGTATAAGTCTTCCTTGAGGATGGCCAGCAGTTGAAGTGAAATGAACGCCGTGCCAAAGTGTTAGAAGCTCGTCAGTCAGTGGTTGAAATGGGTGGTGAACATTATTATAGTCCGGCTCCTTTGGACCAGGTATGATTCCGTATAGGAAAGTGTATTCAGCTTTGTAACGTATATCTGGTGGTAAGCTTAAGCAAATAAGAAGAACAATTCCCGCAGAATGATGCTTGGCTGCCCTCTTTCCAAACGGATTAAACCAATCACAATACAAGCCAAATACAATATTACCTGGCTTTCGAGTAAACAGTTTCCCTTTGACATCTTGAAACATATTCCATTGTTTTCCATCCCAGACATCCTTGTAGACACCTTTAGGATTTTTTTGGTTGCTTTCTAGTGAAGCCTCTATGGCCTTTTCAAAAATAGAGAAATTGAGCATAGTAGCAAGCCATTCAATTAGTGATTGATGATGGAAGATTCTCCGAGGCTTTCTTTTCGAGTTTGCATTTGAGATCTTGCTAGGGGTTTTGTAGAGAGGTGTCTGACAGATGATCCGATTGTCAGCAGAAGTTTTCGAGGGGAATCGTGAATTTCTACACTGAAGCATCATTTCTGAGATTGTTGAGCTCGCTGGAGGTATGGAATCTTGAAGTGCAAAGCACACTGAACAAGAAACAGTATCTATGATGTTAATTTCAAGATGGAACATCTTGAGAGCCTTGATGATTGTGTGTGGTATCTCCTTCCAGCTTTCAGTACAATCTTCATTCAAGTTTAATTGCTTCATCCTTGTACGTTCAAATTTGAGAGACCGGCGGCAGCTACAATGACTTTTCTTGTTTTCAAGAAAGTCTGATAAAATATGTACTATGACTTGAATACATTGGATGTCAAGAATAAATTTTTGAGGGATTACAAAGCGAGAGGTTTCTAGAGTGGTGACTAGGTCCATGTCTTCCAAAAGAGGAGAATCTCTACGAAGTATCTTTTTAGGCCGATTTGTCAGTGCTGAAGTCGATTGTGAGGGTTGGTCTTCTGCTTCTGGGGTAGGTGAGCGACCTCTTTTTGGAGGACCATCGGCTCTGGATGACAATAAATCTAAAGCTACCCCGTGTTCTAGATGTGAAACCAATTGAGACTCTTGTTCCAGCTCATGATTCACTTGAGACTCTGCAAGCTGAAGCGCTTCAAAATGGCGTGGGTAGTTTGTACGATAGAACAGGACTCCGATATGAAGTTCTTGGTCGAATTCAAAAGTTTCTTGATGGCAACCGAGAGCAACACATTGACATTGGACATGATTAGCATCGAAGTAGGCCATCGATGATGTTCTTAAGACAGGACACTGTCATAGTAGCTCTACGTCAGAAAACCCAACCACATCAGCCAATATATCAACACATGCTTACCTTTGAATATCACATTATCAGAAAGTTGGATTCTTGATGTTCACAATGATTTGTGTAGGCTTGAAATAGTTGATTGGACCCAATGACAACCACATAAATTTCTGTTTTCTTGGATGTTATTATCGACCTACAGAAGCTCAACTGCCCTCGCAGAGGGTATGGATGTATGTCAGTGCCCCACCAGTACATCCCCACAGCAGAGTTGTTTGCTAAACTCTGCATTGTTGAACGTGTCTTGGCTCAACACTACCCGTTTCTTCCAAGTTCATCCTGATCTCGATGAAGACATGCTTTACCTCGCACAATCTAACTCATAGCTCAATTGGAGTCTCGCGTATGTGCATCAAGGGTATGGGGTGCTTCAGGACCCGGAAAACTCCACTCCTCAAGCAATTCATCCCGCCAATCGACTGTATTAAGGATGCGACTCTCCTTACCGTCGCAAGGGCCTGTTTGTGATCAAAGCTCTTATAGCGATCCATTCCAGGCCCTTGCAACGTTTAAGGGACTTTCCCTATCGTTGCAAGGGCCTAGGTGTAATCAGATATCTCACAGCCTACTGGCCCATGCGACGATTAAGGAACTCTTCTTATCGTCGCAAGGGCCTAGTTGTTTGATAACAAGACCCTTTGGAGTCAAGTGGTCTCGGCTCTAGCGTAGCCCTTTATTTGAGGATCATATAACCCAATTTTGATGAGATCTTTCGCATATAAATATCCAAACTTCCCACTTGTTGCCCACCTAACTTTAAACCTCCTCGCTCTTCTGGATCATTTCCTTTAGTACTTCCATACACTTAGGAAACTATTCAAAGAAGCTTATATCGTATCCTACCCTCAAGCCTCATTTGATTTTTTTCCTTTTAGTACTTCCGTACGCGTAGGAAATTATTCAAAGAAGCTTATATTGTATCTTACCTTCAACGCTCATATATTCTACACCCAAACATCAAATACATTCTTCAACAACCAATTTGTTATATATCTTGTTAAAACAAGAAGTGAAAATCTGATTCCAACTCATTCATACTATTCTACAATATCAAGTAAGAAAGATACACGTATTGAGCAAAAACCAAGACATTGAAAACTTTTGAGCAGACACCACCCATTGAAACTGACTCCGTCTGATTGGATACTACCATTCATGTATAGAAGACCAATTCCAACACGGAAAAAAATAAAGCAAGAACTAATTTGCACACATGAAGAAGAAAATATAGCAAACACATAGATACTTCTGTTGAATCAAAAAAAGGCCAAGTTTTCATAGCCTGAATCTCATTTCATATCTTGAAGCCTCCATTTTAAACACCGGCAATTCTGAATAAGAACTACCAATGAAATGTTTACTACCAGTAAATCAATGCTGAGAGTGAGATACAAGATCAGTATCTATCAACTTTTGAATCACACATTCAAATATCCCAAAAACTTGCCTTGTAACCAACAGTGACCCAAGACTTTTCAAGACGCCGCCGTTCCTGAAGGCCCTGCTGCTGAGCTTGACTCAGCCTCACTTTGCATCATTCTCATCATCTGTTGTAAAGTTCTTTCCATTCTACATTTGTCGGTTGTGCAAAGTTCTAATCTCAACACTGTGAGTCTATTTGCCTCATTTAACCAAGTTGGAGACACTAGAGAACGTTGGAAGCCTTTTGGTGGACGGCTGTCTGTATCGACATTTGGAGAATAAGCCCCTCGGTCAACGGTGTGTTTAGCGGCCTTAATTTTTTTTGGTATGACCTCAATCTTGTCCATACACTTATCGATCATCTCTATGAAGGCATCGAGTTGAGCACTTCGCCATGGCTTTCGAGTCCTTTCGCGTGTGCCATTGTCTTTGACCTCGTCCTCAGAATGTACCTCTATATAGGAAATTATTTCAGCCTCAGGAGATTTTGAGTCGAAAACTTCTTCAACAAATGCCAAACGAGCAGCATGGATCTATTCCGCCCTCAAAAACATGTCAGTATATAGTTTTAAATAAGGTTACATATTCATATAAGTCACTCACCTTGCTATGCGCACGTTTTTTGCTTGCCTTGATCTTTGCATCAGCCTTGTTGGTCTGCACCTGCAGTTCTCCGGCTGGAGTTTGGAGCAATTCTTGCACCCGAAGTTGTTCCCGGTAGTTGCCTCGCTGGTTTAAGAACCATCGTCGCACAACCTCATCCTGATTCTCAGGTGTGTTATCGGACGCCGAGATTCCAAAACCTCTTACACCATTGCCTTTGTAACACTTCATCCATTGTTGAATCAAGATTGATGACATGGTTGAATTCCAAGGAGTATCGTAGCCAGCCTCCCAGTCAAAGGTGCATCGAGGAAACCCAGCTAACGCAAGTGCCCCTTCACACTTTTTACCCCACAAGTGTGTATATTTAACTCGAGAAACGAAAGACAATGTCGAGGTAAACTTAACAGCTTTCATGGGGTTGGATAACATTTCTTCTGCAGCAGCATCTTTTTCGACGGTAAGGAGCTGAGTAGGATTAGCTTTGAAGTCTGGATTCTTTTTGAGCTGTTTTGCATTGTATCTACGCAAGGCCCTATTGATCGCCTTTGTTATTGTAGCTTCACGTTCTTCCTTCCGATCCATCCACTGCTTTCGCTCTTCATTGGATGGAGAAGGTGGCAAATCACTATCCTTGATCGATTTTGATTTTCTCACGATACCCATCATAAATCGAATCCATTCGTGCAAGGCTCGCGATAGACTGGTGGCTGCTGAAGGAATTGTACTGCCAGCAGCGAGGTTGCTCACCATTGCAGTTTGCACTCGTTTGGCTTTTTGTTTCTTCCTGAGGGCTTCTTTCTTTTTTCTCCGCGCAACCTTTTCCTCAAAACTTAGACCTTCATCTGACACCATATTTCAAAATGAGATAAGATGTGTCAGCAAGTGGATAAAATTTGAGCCAGAAACACTTGCCATAGCTTACCTGCATCAGATTCCTCTTCGTCTGTGAGGTCAGGCTTGTCATTGGTTTCATCGTCGTTGCGTTTTCTTCTTTTGTTACGTTCATCTGAAGTATTTTGGGGTTCTTCTTGAGTCCCAGAACCCGCCATTTCTTATAACAAGTTGGCTGTTGGATAATATGATGGCCTCAGAAAGAAACCAAAAACCAAAATGAACAATACAATAAGTGGAAAAAGTCAACGAATTGGTGTGATAGTAAAGGTCCGTTGAGCAACAAACAGTGAGACAATAAGGGTTGATTGTTGGTTGAAGAGGTGGATGTGATCGTACACTCCTAGTGATCAACAAGGGATAAAAAGACGTTATTACACAGAGTTTACAGCTGGTTCTCAAGATTCTTCCTCAAGATTCGAATCATGTATCTACTGGCTCTCTCTGCACAAAAGCTTCTCCACGTCAACCGCTACTACATACATGAACAACAAAGGCACTGGTGGCAAGAACCAAATGTGAACACCTGCAAAAGCGCTTCTAGGGATCATAAAAATTGTTCCGTCTGCTCACGTCAACGTGACACGTCTGGACAGACAAGGTGAATGGCTTTCAAATCAAAGGAAGAAATAAGCAAACTCACCTAAAAATATCATATACTCAGGGGGTATATTAGCAATTTGTTTTGAATACTTTACTTGTATCAGTTAAGTGGTTGATATTAATCTTTGAAACTTTGTGAATGGTTTGTCTAATTGGATGATACACCAGCTAACTTATTCTAGGACCATGATCAAACTTAAACAACTAGAAAAATCTGATTTCATACTTGAACTTGAATCCAATTTTATGAATGACATTGAAGCCCAAGGACAAATTAAAATTTTGATCATTTCAAAAAAAAGCATTTTAAGGTCTAACATCTAAATTTTTCAAACCTGGTCCCCAAGTTAAATGTCCAGCTAGGGAGTACCTAAGACATTCTAGGAAGACCTAGAAAAATGATGGTGTTATTACCACAGAAGTTCAATTTTATTCACACTCACAAGAATTTGAAAATCCAGTGATGATACAACATACACTTATGTGCCTTGAGAAGGTCAAAAACCACTAAAAATTTAATACCATAACCTATTTTTTTATTGCAAAAGAAACCTCAAAAATTTCCAACTTCATGACTTCTGAAACCAATTACAAAATTGCAACATGTTTCTTGGCTTGACTTACCACCAATCACATACCAAAAAAACCCCGTTTTCACATATTTGTATAACTTTCTTACCTTATTTACTTACTTACTTCCCTCTTTGCTCTCTCTCTTTACAGAAAAAAACCCACAACCAATAATCCACATTCAGTTTCAATTGCAATCTCAGTTTCAATTTCATTTTCAATTTCAATTTCAATTTCAATTCAAGTTCAAGTTCAATTTCAATTCTGATTTCAAGTTCAAGTTCAAAGAAAAAAAAACTGTGCTATAAGTAAAACAAAAAAAAAAACAATCCCTATAATCAAAAAAATGTATACAAAACATAAAGAAAGAAACCTAAAAAAAACCTAAAAAAAAAACTCAAAATATAATATTCAAAACAAGTATCCAAAACTTTTACATTCAATCTTTCTTTTTGCTTTGCTTTTCTATTTTATTCTTTTCTCTGCTTTACTTTAATTTTCTTTTCTATTCTTTCCCTTTGCTTTCCCATTTTCTTTCCCTTTTCTTCAATTTCTCAATCTTCTTCAACTGTCTTCAATTCCTTCAATTCCTTCAATTTTCTTCAATTTTCTTCAAATTCCCCTATAAATGTTTCTTATACTTAATCCCACCCACCTCATTCCCAATCTCTCTACCCAAACAACCAATCACATCCTTAATCCAATCTTCATTAGGACTTTCACCCAATCGATTTCCCGATAACCAAATCTCAATTCGATCTCCTCTACTTCTTCTAGATCCTACTATTCCTGTAATCTTGCCTTTGTAATCGGTTTCATCTTCTATTACTCCTCCTGCTGTTAATAAAATTAAGGTTTCGAAAATTCGGTCTAGGATTGATATGTTTAATGAGATCGTTAATCTACCTCCCTAAGATCAAAACCAAAAAATAAAATAAAAGATCAATTTCACAAATAAAAAAAATCATTCGGATTCGATTTTTGGATTTTTTGCTTTTGGATTGTTTGATTCTTTGATTTTTGGCAAATAACTCACTTTAGAATTCCAAGGATCTTCCCAAACCGGACCAACCCCAACCCTAAAGAAATGTAAATTCTGTTGAGCCCTAAACCCAACCAATCCAATCCCACAACCCGGTTTTTCCAATCCCATCAATCCAATTCCTTTCAATCTAATTCCCATAAACTTTTTAAAACCCATTAAACTTTCACACAAGTTTTCAACCGATTCGATTCTATCAAACACAACTGACATACCAGATTGATATTCCGAAGCTTTTAATTGATTTGATTTCATACTATTACTATTACTACTACTACTTGATGGTATAGTTAATGAAGAGTCTGAAAAAAATAATCGCCAGGAACTTTGTAGTGGGTATCCTGATTGAATGGGGTTTGGGATGGATTTTAGAGTCCTTTTGATGGAGAGTTGGTCATTTAGGGGTAAACTTTCAAGCTTGGAAATTATTTTAGATAGTACTGAACTCGAATCGATTTTGAGAAGATCATCTGAAACCGTCTTAGAACTCGGTATAGTTTCTTGATTAGTAGTTTTTAGTTGGTCCGGTACAGATGAATGGACCGATAAAGATTTCATATGGTTGACTTTCTTATTCATCTTATTCTCATTCGATCTTGTTTCTTCCTTCGGTAAATTCCCATCTGCTTTTCCATTCTCATCAAGTTTCAACCCCGCTTTTAAATCATTCAAGGAGTTTGGAATAGGTCGATCAGCTTCTGGCTCATTGATAATGTTAGATCTCGTGGCTTCTGTTGCATTGGGTGGTGAATCAGTAATCGGATTAGACTTTGAACTTTTCCTTCTACCTCCTCTAGAAGATCTAGTCTTAATAGGTTTACTTCCATTCTCATTCATTTGATCCAATACTTGTGTTTGTTTCTGTACTTGTGATGGTGGTTCATGATCAATTAAACTTATATTAGAACTCGTATCACTTCCTGACCTATTCCGATTTCGAGTTACTTCATCTTCAATTCCTTTTGATAATTTTCGTGGTGGTGATAAACTTGTTTTAACTTGACTTGGATCTGGATTATTGGTTCCTATCATCGAATTCGTGATCGGTTTACAAATCGTATTAGGTGAGTTTGAAGTTTGGATCGCATTCGGATTGGATTTCTGACTCGGATTAGGTAATCCTGGTGGTGCTATGTTCATCGTTCTGAATCCAACTTTGAGTTCCTCATCAAATTGTACATTCAAAGTATGATCAATGTGAATCAAGTTATGAGAACAGTGTGAAATGGTTGATTGAATACGCGGTTGATGGTTGATGGTTGGTTTGGACGCATACAATCAGTCAGTCCAAATCCGATCAACGGATCATCCAAGGTAAGGTAGATGAATATATGCGGATAACCGTGTGGGGTGGGTGAATGTATGCGAGAAGAGAAGATCATTAACAGTTGGAGAATAATGATGATCGAGATCGAGATCGAGTGGATGATTAAAGAATCAGAAACGGTAAGACAGATGATTAAGCCAAACTGAAACTCAAACAGATGACTTACGTTCTAGATTAGAATTAGAAGTTCTTGAAGTTAACTTTTGATGAATTGAAGTGGTACTAGTAGAAGAAGCAGGAGAATTAGATGAATGAGGTGGTTGTTGTTGTTGAGATCTTGCTTGTTCGGTAAACCTTTCGATAGCATGTAAGGCAGCTTGAATATGATTAGTATTACTATTACTAGTTTTTGTGGTATGATGAGCGGTGATGTTAGTTGAATTGATAGTTGAGATTGGAGTTGAAGTTGAAATGGTGATTGGATTGAGATGATGATGATGATGATGATTTTGATTTTTGTTATTCATTGTTGTGGATCAGATTGGATGGTATCTTGGATTAGATTGTGAAGTGTTAAGCTGATGGTATGTAGTTTTGTAGTTTTTTGATGGCGATTGAGAACAGAATGAAATGAATGAAAGTGTTTGTTTGTTTGTTTACTTTAAATGGATAGAAGAACAATCAAATCAAGAAGAACCCATTGACTTTCTTCTTCCTATTAAAGCTACTCAATCAATTTCAACCAAATCAATAGATCAGCAATACAAATACTATCAAACTATCAACTACACACTAACTTACAACTACAACACATAACCCTGTACAAACTTCTACCCTCTTCCAAGATCCACTTTGTACTTATCTTGATTCTTAAGCTGTGCTCTTTTTAAGCTTAATTTCAGAAATCATATCTGGGTCATAACTCACTCTCTGTGTGGTTGTAGAAAATCATTTCCACAATCAATCTTTGTATGTAAACCAAATCTAATCACAGAGATCTTATGTGTAGATACCTGAACATAGCCTTAAGATCATCCATTCTTGATCACACCACAGGAATTATCAAGGGCACATTCACTTAAGTAATTTCCAACCAGAAATCACATTCTGTAAATTTTTTAAATGCAAAAATGAAACATGCACCACCAAAATAGACACTTTAAATTTTGCAGAATGTGATTTCTCACCAGAAATGGCTTAAGTGAACATGTCCTAAGTCTGAAACCCAAGTGAGCAGAGTCATGGTGACCAGGTCTGTGACTTTCTTCAATTGTGGATCTTCTTTGCCCCAGGTTTGCCATAGGTTTGCTAGCTCACCTTAAGTTGCCCTCAAGTTGTCCAATACATATGCAACTTATACAGTACCACATATGTAGTGAAGCTCATGGCAAAAGAAACCCCAGAAGACGTTGTAAGAGATATCCTCTTCAGTAGACATAGTTAGTTGACAGTGCAATACATGACATCAAAAGCACTTTAAAGTTAAAAATCAATAAATATAACAAAAGGGTAGCTTGAGGGAAGCCAGCAAACCTATGGCAAACAAGATCCACCCTTGAAGAAAGTCACAGACTTGGTCACCCCTACTTTGCTCAATCAAGTTCCACACTTAATAATTCCTGTGGTGTCATTCAGTAAGCCCAAGAAAGCACAGAACTAGTGACCATTGAACGGGTCAATCACCAAGTTCATCATCAAACACAAAATCAGGTCTTGAATCCGATAAGCTCTGAAATAAAAAAGAAGTCAAGTCAAAATCAATTTCAAACCACAGAAGGCAATCACAATTCACATTCCACAAATTCTTGCATCAAAGGCAAGGCTATATCCAATCAGCATGGCCTTGAGACTCTGGACATGGAAAAAAGCAAGATCAAACAGCTCACTGTGAGTTTGTTGCTATAGAACAGCTGGAGGTGGGCTAGCAAACCTATGGCAAACAAGATCTGTGATTGAAGAAAATGGTGGACCTGGTCACCACAACTTTGCTCAATCAGGTTTCACACTTAATGATTCCCGTGGTGGATCATTAACTCACAACCCTTCAAAACAAAAAAAAAGCTGTTCCGTATTCAATCCGGTTTATAAACCCTTACCATCTCCACAATCACATTCATGTTTAGTAAGTTTTGTTTTACATTTCATCAGACAATTCAAAATAAATTCACTTCTGTCAAAACACCTTTAATATCCACAACCAAAAGTAATATGTATCACAAGATTTCACATCTTCAATAAATTAGGTTTAAAAAAATCTGCTTTCAAGTCAATCACATATACCAGTCTCAAACAAGAAAGAACCAAATCAATAATGATAATCTTGAACCAAAAGCCTATAAAAAACATGTTAACATCTTACAAAGTTAGAAAGATTTATATATCATTAGGTAAGAAAAAACTCTAGAACAAAGAAGAATCAATGAAAGGTACATAAGTTATTTTTCACTTTCAACAGAAATGTGCTCAACTCAAAAATTATTATAGTTTCAAATAACCATCTTCTTTCAACTTCTTTTCAATCTTCTACACATTTCCTTTCTTTTTCATCCAAATCATATTAAACCAATCCCCAAAAAAAGAAACCTTACATCTTGATACTTCAAGATTATAATCGACTACCAAACCCACCTCTATACACAAACCTTTCAATTTCTCTAGTATTAACCTACAAAAAAATTCATCAAAACCCAATCAATCCATCAGAACAATTGATTTATTCAAAGTCATGAGAAAGAAATCAAAACTTAACATATTCTTCTCCAAGTTCATGTATATCAATCACACCTAACAATCTTAAACAAATCTCAATTTCCTCCCTCAAGATCTTACAAACCTTTTCCACTCCTTTTTCTCCCCAAATCAAACTATACAATGGTCTAAGGATTCCGACCCAAACCAAGTAAAGAAATCCAAAAAACCAAAATCATGAACCTGATCTTATTCAAAATTAAAACCACTTGACTAAATGTAATGAAAAACCAACTCACAATCTACCTAACCCAACAGCTTTAACACCAAGTGCCAAAGCTTTAACCACATCATTCCCACCCCTAATGCCTCCATCTAACCAAACCTCAGTTCCACTTACCTCAATCAAATTCGGATAAAGCGTTTTGAATTCAATTAAAGTTTCAATAGAAGAAGAAGTCGAATCTAATTGTCTACCACCATGATTTGAAAGATAGATGTACTTGAAATTCATTGAGATCGATTTCAGTATATCTGAAGAGGTTTGAATTCCTTTGATAATAATGGGTAAATGGGTCATCTTTTGAATCGCACTTGCGTCTTCCCACTAGGTTTGGTTTAGAAAAATTCGATTTAGTTGGTTGGTTTATGATTTGGATGATTTTTTCAAAAATTACTTACAGTTAGACTTGAATCGATATAACTAATTCCCAGAAACACATCGTCTTAAGCTTCATTGTCATCGTCACATCAAATCAAGAGTTTCTGTGAAAACAACACAAACCTAGCAAGAGCACTCGAAACACTCTGTTCACCTCCAATCCTGACTTTTAATCTTTCATCTCGTGTTCGTTTACCAGGAATCGGAGCATCAACAGTTAAGACGATGGCTTTATAATCGGCTTTTTCGATTCTTTTGATCAGTTCTTTTGTCTTTGATCTATCTTTATTTACATAGAGCTAGAAGTAAAAAGAAAAGTTGATCAGTGTTCTAGGCTTTTGTTTTGGATTTTGGGCGTTATGGAATGGTGTATTGTTTTAGATCTTGGAAAGAATTTTGGTATTGATGATATGTAGATTAAAAAAGTGGTAAAAAAGTGGTATTACTAACTTGGTAGAATAAAACTTGACCTGGTTCTTTACATTCAGCTAACTCTTCAAGTGTACAAGAAGCATTCGAACTAACCTGTCAACCAAAAAAACCAAAAACTCACTTCAATAATCAATCAACAAAACACAACCCAATATATAAAGAAAAAACCGAAAAACTTTAAATCAAAAAATAATCAAAAGATTCAAATCATGATCTAAATCTTTTCGCTCACAATATAAATTATTCCAAACTTTGCAGCCACTCTAACAAAGTTTTTTTCACCATCAAGATGAGCTAGTTTAGCTAATGCAGCAGGAGCAATAAAGAAAGGTAAGCTAGAAGTAAAGTTACATAAGTGAGTAGAAAGCTTTAGATTTGATGTTGAAACGTTTCTTAATACTCTTGGTCTGAATTTAATTAAATTCCAGTCTGATTGATTACGATTGACTGTGATTTCTTGATTTGCTGCTGATTTATAATAAGCTATTTGTTTCCAAAAAAAAAGTTAAGGAGATGGGGTTATGAATCAGTAAAGAAGTTACAAAGAGTTGAGGTCCATGGTTAGGAAAATAAAATCTTACCCCATGCTTTTGGTTTTAACGTTTTTTCTGCTAATTCTTCAATCTCATTTAAATCTAAAACTTGTGAAAGATCAGGTGTTTCTATTACTATTTGATGTTTCTTCAGATTTGTATCATTTTTAGGTATCTTTAGAACTTCTTCAATTTCTCCAATGTTTTGGTTTGGATTTAAAGTGTTTAATAGATTGACGGAATGTACATTATCAAACGCTTGGGTTGCATCTTTACCTGCATATCTTAAAATTACTTCTGATCCACCTGGATGCTGTATGTACATATATGAAAAAAATGAAATACATTAGCTTGTTTTAAAAGTTTAGTAAGACTGGAAAGAAAGATGAAAAAAAATGATTGACTTCATCGAGAAATGTGGTAAAATCGTAAACTCGATCATGGATTACAGTCCAACAACTCGTTCGATGATTATGTTGAAGAAGTTCTTCTTTTGAAACCTTCTTGACTTTTGTCATTTTCCGATTTTCTTTTTCAAACGATTGTTTATTAATCGTTTTTTACCATTCAACTTTATATCAAAACACCATTCCAGATTCCACAGGTCGTCACTGACACGAGGGTATTGGTAAATTGGTTTTACCGGTGTGCTCGGCTTTTGGTCTTCCGACACAGCCTATAAATCTTGTGCGAGAGCAAGAGTTCTTTTTGATTCTGGTTCAATCAAATTCATTGAGACATTAACTTATGAGCTTCATTTGATTTGGAAATACAAACTAAACACCTACATATTGAGATTGTTGAAAGTTACTGACCTATAAACTATTAAAAACTACTTACGATCAAAGTAAAAAAAGAATAATCGAATTGGTTGAAGACTGGAACAACCTATGCTCAAAAGTCTTCAAGAAGAAAGGGTAATGAGATTTGAAGATCAAAGTGTTTTTTTTGGTAAATACGAAAAGAAGTTCGGTTATCATTTCACTACCGATGACCGAGATGGAGTTCGGATTTCGGAGGTGACTCGATGACAAATCACTCACAGAATACGAACGCGAAAGAAAATGAACTTCATCCCTTGATCATGATCAACAATCAAGTTTTCTCTTGGATATCTGATGAGTTACTCTACATATGATATGCCTTTGATGGAATTCAAAAAAGATTTTCAACTTGAAGAATGCCCTTCTATTTGGGTCAAAGATTTTAAGGGCAAAATTTGTAACTGTATCGTGTATGAGACCAGAGAGCTGAACCAAGCTTAAAGCGTGTTGGCTTCACACAAGTTCAAGTTGATCCTTACAAAAACATTTAACACAAGACACAGCTTGCCATAATTTCACCAAACCAGAAGATCAAAAAGTAAATATATAGAGAGGTGACCACATATCCATAACCAAGAGAACTAGCTTCATGGTGAGCACCTCCATGATGACAAACATATGACATTCTGGTGCAAATTCAATTGTTATATCTTGATATTCTGTGTTTGTCTTATGAATTTCGCAAGAATTGGTTTCCTGAAACATTGTTGAAATCAATCCCCAGATCACCCAATAGGCTTGTGATCAATCAGAATCTGTTTGATTCCAATATATATGGACAAATGATATTTTCTAGACAACTTGGAATGTTAATAGGGTAGACAGCTGAGCTGGTAGTTATGTAGGCTTGAAATCACACAACAGATTGTTCTGCAGTGTTGCCATTGGTTGATATAATTTTTTAAAAATCCTCTTGATTTTGCTCATATATATCTGTGATATCAGTTATTCATTCACTAAAGACAATGACAAACTGCAATGTCCGACTTATGACAAAGTTTTAGTGTATTCCTTTGTTCTCTTTAGAGCTTTGGAATCCGTTCCAAAATCAAGGTGTTATGTTGTCATAATGGGTTAAGCAACCAAGATTTGTTCTGATCTGATATGTTGGAATTCTAATCACGAAACTGGCCCATGGGTGCGCTGCGATTAGATCAGCGCTCACCCTCCTTGACCGCGTTTTAAGTTCAAAATCCCAACCAGTCACGGTGTTTTAAGTTGCCTATAAAACTGCCTCTACAAGAGATGAAGATTGTCTAGGCCAGATATCAGCTGTCAATTCAAGCCCTATTTCCTCTTCAAAGGATCTTATCTCCCCAGATTCCAACGATACTCGACGGGGACGCCCTTTCATTTCTGTTGCCAACTATGACCGCTTTGATCAAAACTTTGTTCTTGATCGCGGCCTTGACTTATGGTGTGGCTTCAACCACCGTCGCAGCTCCTTCTTGTCAAGCGTATCACTCTGTCGATGCTGGCGAATGTCGCAGGTCAGTGATGCTCTGAATTGTAATGTGATGGGTGGTTTGGTTTCTCACCGATTGCTGATCCTTTACACACATTCAATTGCTTCGCATGTGTTTAACCCAGTGCGCTCGCATCTTATCAAACCGACAACGAGGGTTTGATTATTCAAAACCAAACAAGTAGTCAAAAATCCTGCTTTGGATGTCTGGTGAGAATTTCAATTCGTTCACATGGACCTTTAGCAGAAGATTTTTCTTTTGAAAAGTATTCGAGAATAGGTTAGGGATGATAATTTTTGTTTTTATGTTCGTAGATCAAATTTGAAACCAGCTTAGGTGACAATCTCAGGTTGTAAGTGACCCATTTACAAATAATAGTAAAAAGAACAAATGCTGAGATCCTGGAGTCCTTGACCTCAGCTCTGCGGAAGGTGCTGAGGAAGCCTTGGTTCTTATCATGAACGAGTGTAATGAAGGGGTATTTAAATTTTTGATGTTGTTGTCCAATTTTCGCGATGCTGAACTTTGTATTGATTTTGTTCCTTCTAGTATGGCTCTGTCACAATACCTGAGCTTCTTGTTCCTGGCCGGCGCATAGTTCCTACAGTACTTTCAGTTGAGGAAGGGTCTGGTGAAATATGCAATTAAGGTTACTTGACCAAATTGACAATTTTCTCAGATACAAAAATCCGGAGCTGTTAATGAAAAGGAAAATAATCATTACAACTTCAAATCATTGGCGGTTTCATTTGGGCTGATTGCTCCTTTCATAAAAATCATTCTTCAACAAGGGTTTCAATACCGCTTCATTTATACCTCAACTTAATCAGATATCTGGCGCGTCTTTCTTTGAGAACGCCATCTGTCAATACAATTGGCTCAAATATTATCAGCGCCCGAGGTGTCCCGAATGCCTTCATGAGCACAAATGTTACTGGTATTGCGTTCAAGAGCGTGTTTGAGTAGCACGACAGTTGCGCTGCGCCTACGATGCCCCCCAAAAAGATTTTTGCAACCGGTCGTTGAACTTGTGAGCAGCGCATCGCACCGGTCGATCGTGTTGCTGAAAGTCGAGGTCTTGCTCTCCCCGTCAACCAAAGCCGGGGAAGAGCTTACGTTCTGATCACCAGTTCAAGTCTGTTGGAACTTTGTGGTGCGGTGCAATGATAAGTTTTCTCCCTGACTCTCTTTTCTTCCTCGGATGGAATTAATAAAGTCGATTTTCTGAGTTGAAATTGAAGCTAGAGAAGTTGCCATTCTCGGTTGTCTTCCCCACCGCATCACACCTGATAGATAGCTTTAGAGACCCTTATCGCCGAACATCTCTCGATGTGATCAACAGTCTCATCGAAGGAATTCTATGCGGGGGTATGGTCTTTGTTTATTTTTGTGGATTCGCTTGACTCCAACGAAAGATCAAGAGGCAGTGACAAGGTACCATGAAATCGACCTCGACTACTGATCCTTCCCAACCACCTTGAGCTCAATCGAACCAAGCGAGTCTTTGAAATATGAGAGGAACTCGGACGATTTGACTGTTTTCTAGCCTTGGACCTCGAATACCTATAAATTGAGTGCTAAAAGTCAGATCATCTCTTCACCTCCACTCATCTCTTTTCAAGCCTTTTTCAAAATAACCTGAGCAACCTCATTTTTGAGTCTCATCATAAAAATCTTTTTATACGAAAAATGAAATTCTTGTTATACCTTTCAATCTTCTCAGCTAGAGTTCTTAGCAAACCCGACAAAGTCACTTCACAAAATACGGGTTGTCATCGTTATATGCTTAACGAGTTTAAATGTGTGCCCTCAGCTGAAAAATCGAGGTGTCCTGGCCATAGTGAGATAAAAAAAGTTTCAAAGCTGACTTCATCAAAAAAACAGTTTTCTGGATCGGGATACAACACGACAATACCCGTAAATATTGAATTACTTCATGTCTTCCTTGTCATTTCTTTTACTTATTGTATTGTTTGTAAATTTTTAGACCAAACCAGTTGCAGGAGGAAACGGCGTAAGTAATGACATAAGAAAGCCTGACATTGATTGCTGTTGCACTAACTCTCATCTTCTCTACATTATAAATACAAAAACTGCTACCTGTAGATTTGTGGTAAGTCATCTTAAAGATGCAAATGATCAAATACTAAGAAGAGGAGCTAACTTGCTTCTTTGGAATCTTGCCTTATCTTACAAAAAAAACAGGAAATTATGATTCGAAGACTACCTTAGGTGTTTGTTTATGGTCAGGTTCTGATCCCGTTGATGGATCTAAAGCATCTACTTCCGGATGGTTAAATGGGTACATGAGAATCTTTCTTTTTAAACCTTTGCCCCGTGTAGCTGACTTGATTCCATTTAACATAAAAAGTGGTCTGAAAACAAACTGTGGCAAGTTTGTGTAAGCTAGTTATCATTTTGTATCTCCTTGATTGAAAATACCATCACATTGACTCAATCTTATACTTGACTTTGTTGTTGATTTTGACATGTAGATTTATACAAAGAAAAGGGAAACCAGAAACTATTAGATATGCAAAAGTGTTAGATGGCTGTGCATTTGATACTAAAGATCCCAAAGTTGGATGTTTTCAATTATGGATGACAACAGCTGTAAGTATTTATTCCATCAAGTAAATTTAGTCCTGGTGGATCTTGTTGATGATTTTAGTATCTTTTTTTTCTATAAAGCTGTTTAATGAGTTTAAGCCTTCAAAAGAAGATTCAGCAAAAGGAAGTATTTCAGACTCTTTCACTTGGGGATTGTGAGTGACAATCTCTGTGATTACAAGTGAACTTGCAGGGAAAATTGATAATGTTTTCCTTTATTCTCAAGTGATAATGAGTATGGTCAACATCCCTTCAACGCACCAGTCTAATTGATATCTTCAGCCATGGTTCATTTGACATGACCATCTTCTATTTTCAAAAATCATTTGTCTGTATCAGTCTCTTATGTTATGTATATCCTTTTTCCTGAAATATCTCTCAAATCTGTAATAATAATGTGTTCTTTGAAAGAAAATGTTATCTGATGTAATGAGTTTCTGGAAAAACATTGATATCTGTAATAGTGTGTTCTTTGGAAATAAGGATATCTGATGAAGTTCGATGACCAAAGCGATGAACACATGTTGAAAAGTCAAGCATGCTGGTGCTCGAATTTCGAAAGCAATAGTTGGGAACAGACTACAAATCGAGTGAACTCACAAAATCGACTCTATTGATTTGATCAAGCACTATTTACAAGCTGAGCGCCAGCGCAAGATCTGGTGGATGCACCGCACCCCAAGTGGAATCGAACATAAGATCCGATTGAGGCTCCTCCCGTCTGCGTTTCCCTCCGGCACTGAGGGGCCTTAGAGTTGGATGCGGGGAGTTGTCGGAGTCGGAGGCCTCCATCTGCATCAATTTTGCGGTTTCTACACCATTTTTCAGCCGAGCTGAGAGTAAAACTTGGCGATGGGAAGTTTTGATCACAAGTTCAACTTCGCCTACGGTGCGGTTCAGTACGAATGCAATTCCTTCGGCTTTTTCATCTTTGATGAAGTGAAGATCGAGTCAATTGCTCAATTTCGTCTCGATTGCTTTCCCCGCCGCATCACACCTGAAGTGTACTATTATCCCCGGAAAGCTTTCCAGATGATCTCTTCAAGATTCTTAGGTAATGGATACCGGAGCCGAGCAAGAAGAGTATAGGTTGGGTGAAATAAAAGCTGGAAAGATTACATACATACATAGTCAACTTCCGCAATTTCCTCTCGACTGCGTTCCCCACTGCATCGCACCTGGGAACATATTCTTATCTCCGATTTTTCTTTGGAATTTGATCAAGGGTCTCATCAAAGGAGTCCTAGAGGAGATTGCTATAATCTTTGTTGATTATTGTGGTTTCGCCTCAGCCAGACACGAGGTAAAGAGGCGGTGAAAACCAGCCTCGAGTCGACTATTGGTTCTTCCCCACCACCTTTAGCTGAAGCGAAGCGAGTGCGGCTTTGGAACCAAGAGTAGAACTTTCTAGCATATGGCTTCGAATGTCTATAAAATGATTGCTCAGACCACATCTTTTCAATATCTTCTCATTCCACTCATCTGATCATCTCAAGCCTTTTTCATACAACCTCAAAAATCCCTAGCATCCTCGCTTTGAATCTCACCCTATCTTATTGAACGAAAATGCAGATCTTGATATTCTTCTCACTCCTCTCATCTAGCGTGCTTAGTAAAAGTGTTAATATTGCTTCACAAGATACGGGTTGTTATCGTTATATGCTTGAAAATTACCAATGTGTTCCGTCAGCCGATAAAGATAGATGTCCTGTGGCTGAGTTTGAAACAGACAAAGTAACAAAGGTGGATTTCTTTGGAATACGACTCGCAAGACACTAGTGATTGACTCTGACTTTCTCATCCTTCTAGTTTCCTGGATTAGGATACAATACAACAATACCTGTAAGTGTTGGACGACTTCTTACTTTCCCTGTCCTCTTCTTTACTTATGGTCTTTCTGGTAACATTTTTCATAGGTTAAACCTGTTGCAGGAGGAAATGGCGTAAGTAATGACGTAAGAAAGCCTGACATTGATTGCTGTTGCACTAACTCTCATCTTCTCTACATTATAAATACAAAAACTGCTACCTGTAGATTTGTGGTAAGTCATCTTAAAGATGCAAATGATCAAGTACTAAGAAGAGGAGCTGACTTGCTTTTTTGGAATCTTGCCTTATCTTCCAAAAAAACAGGAAATTATGATTCCAAAACTACCTTAGGTGTCTGTTTATGGTCAGGTTCCGATGCCGTTGATGGATCTAAAGCATCTACTTCCGGATGGTTAAATGGGTACATGAGAATCTTTCTTTCTAAACCTCTGTCCCTTGTAGCTAATTTGATTCAATTTAACATAAAAAGTGGTCTGAAAACAAACTGTGGGAAAGACAGGATTAGAAGAAGTCGAAACAAGCAAAATAACAAGGAAACTTTCTTTTTTCGTCAAGCCAATCTGGTGGCAAATGGAAGTTGATTGATATGTTGAGAACCAAAGCATTAGCAGTGACAAATTCTTCATCTATACAAGTTACTTATATTGATATCTTGTTTTTTTGGAGATAATAGAAAAATAAATTAAGCGTCTTTTTCTTTTTCAAATTGTACAGAAAATGATGTATTGATAGGTGAATCTTCACTCGCAATTTGACATCACAACTCCTGTGAATGATGTGGTCGTTGTTTTTGTTTGATTATTTGTTGAAAGTTGAAATTTGAATGAACCTGATTACGAGGAGTTTAATTGAATCAGAACCAAATTAAAAGTATTCAAAATTCCCTTAAACTCCCACCACTTCTTTTATTCCATTTTGTTTGAGTTTATGATAACGCTTATGAGACTGTGTCAAATTACAAATTGATATCTTGCATACAAAAATGAGAAAGAACAGCGAAACATTAAAGACAGCTTTCCCAACAAATAAAAGAATCTCAATGGTGCCAGCCAACCGTTCCAACATTAACACCCCTTTTTTGGGCATCTATATGCGCCATTACCAAGATTGGATTTTTGCGAACATAGATATCACAAGATTCACGATTATGCCAACGACCTATGACCTTGAGGTCTTCCCTGCTGACACCTGAAGCGCAAAGGTGGGTAGCCCCACCAACCCTACATGAATGCCCCGTCCGAGTAGTACCAAAATGCTCAAACAATCGATCCATCCACCAAGCATATGTGGGATACTTTCCACCATACCGTAGTAGCCAGGAGGGATCCATTGAGTGACCACGAGATTCGTTGTATCAAAGAATGAGAGCTACAGGGTCTGAAGGAGACCCTCGCCTTGCTTGAATCATAACTTCAGAACCTTCACGTGCTTGATCACTTTTTTGATGCGGTAAAAGATACTTCACAAATTCTTCACAGTCAGAGAATTGAACAGAGCCACGACAAATAGTATTTGCAAGGTTTCTTCCCACAATTGAATGGTCTACAGTAATTTCTGCTGTCCTATGCAAACCAGCAAAAGCGACTGAGAGCATCGTAGCAAATAAGAGGTCGTCATGAGTGACTATCTTGTTGGCCACTTTGTCCATATCCTTGATGGTCATTGGCTGAGCTCGCTCTCGTGGGAGTGAGAATTGATCGTGGCAACCAGCTAGGACACCCTTGAAAAGGTCGGATTTGTGGGCTTCCTTGGGAGTTGGATGTGAGATGCCACATAATTGGATCATTTTTTGTATGGCGCCTGCGGCGCTGGACGGTTGAGTTTCAGGCTTTGAACACTTAAAAGACAGATAATCCGCCAGAGTATTGTTTGACTGGAACAAAGTTGTCTCCACCAATTCGCCCATGAGGTCACAAAACTCCCTGTAGCGTTTGAACTCAGCTTGACCTTCTTGGAGTGTCGAATGTGAATTTCTCTTGCTCAAATCATAGTCACGCTGTTGCCGAATCGCATCCTTCAACTCTAAGCTGGCAGTTGGCTTATCAACAGGTTGATTTTCAGCAGGAATTGCTAAAGAAGAACCTCCTGCTTGAAAGTTGGCACTAGTAGATTGAGATTGATCCTTAAGATACTTCCAAATACCAACAGGATCCGAAAGAAGCCCTTTAGATTCAATTTCAAGACGAAATTGCTCAGAGATGTGAGTATACATGATAGCAGCCGCTTTATTTTGACAAGCAACATATGCATCAAGCAAAACATTGCTTTCAGCACTGCAAGAAGAGTTGACCGGGGTGTGATTTGGGTTTAAAAATTCTTGAAGACCCTGAGTTATGAGGTAAGGTGTTATATTCCCTTTCCATCGTGTGTAATTATCATTGGTGAGTTCAACAATCTGAACTATAGCTTCGTTGGCAGGCATGATGATGATGATGATGATGATAGCAAAACGTAGGAGGGCTGAGTTCATGACCAGTCAAGATGTTGATTGAGGAGTCAGCTTTGTATATGCTGGGCATTGATCAAATAGGAAGATGAGACCTTACCTGTGAGATTGAGAAGTTCAGATTATTATAAGTTGCTAGCTGATTGAAAGACAATAGATTGTTTTTGATTGAGTTAATGTAGAAGTCGAAAGCCTTGTATGAGGTGAGCCTGGACTCAAGTCGAATCAATAACACCCCTAACAAAATTGAAACTGAAACTCTTGTGCTAGGACCCTGGCAAACTCCTAGGTAGGGGGGTTGTCTAAAACCCCCGATTTTGGCCTTTTTCATACTTGAAAAAAGATGGATTTTTTCAAAGATTCTTGGTTTCATACGTCTTTCACCTCTACGTTTTGGGGCAGTGGGTGACCAAAATTTGGTTCCCATACCTCCCAGACCTCCACGTCTAAAAACGTGTTTTTGAGAGTTTCACGCAAAAATAGAACTTCATTTTTTTTTGGTCATAAAATGATAAAAAAAGTAGTAAATTTGAGCTTTAACAACGAGAACAAATCAGAAATGATAGAATTTGATGTAAGTAGTCATATATTACTAGCAACATCAGCGGCGGGCGCCGCCTCATGAAATCATACCAGATTGCCTGTCTCCATAAGCAGTGGCAGCAATCTCTTCCATCCTTTTCTTCTTCCTCTGATCTTCTTCGTGTTTCAAAACTGACAAGTGTACCTTTCCCCGGCACATATCGTACTTCTGCTCGATTCTCAAACAAAAAAAGCATCCCAGGAATACACTATGAGAAGACGAGAAGAAATCAGTAAATGGTCTCAATGATAAATCTTGTGAAAACACTCGCATCAGGACCCCGGAAAGCTCCCCCTGAACCAACCGACGTAAAACCCGGATTTTGAGGATTTTCATACCCAAAAATCCCGGACTTTTGGAGCTTTCATACCAAATTGGTCGGTAACAGTTCAGTACCAAAAGTGAGCCCCGGGCTACAAAGCTATGTTTTGGTGCCATTTAGTGCCAAAAATGTTGGTATGACGATGAGATTTTAAAAATTATACCGGGCACGTCTGTAAGATGAATGACTAACAAGCCATTTTCATACCAGTTTGGTCGGTAACATGACCAAATCTTGACCACTCAAATCATACCAAACACGTCGGTAGGTTTAAGGGGAGCTTTCCAGGGTCCTCTCGCATCACTCTGTCCAGTTGGACCGACCACAAACCTAGTTCTACAAAACGATTGACCATCAGGAGTGACCATGACAAAACCCAATCCATCTGTACCTTCACAAACCCCTTCACAAAGACTAGCACCTGGAACACCCATGACTGTACCAGGTGCAGAACGCATGACTAACCCAAGTCGATCTCATACAACAGTTGACATCAAGTTTAACATACTACCCGTGTCACATAAGAAATTTACTGCTTTCGAATCAATGTTCAGGGTGATATAAGGTAAGGAGACGATTGTGGGAGTTAGAGTGTTGGTACTGTTAAGTCTGGTTGTGGGGTTACCAGTGGATCTTGATCCAGGTCGAGCGATCGCAGGACTTGGGGGTCTAGAAGCCTATAGGAAGATACCATCACAAGATTTGATTAGTCTGAATCACATTCATGAGACTTTTGATTAGGAGAGGAACACTTACTGTTTTTTGAGTAGTACTCGATTGCATCAACTTTGCGGGTAAAGGTGGTGGTGGTGGTGGCGTAGGTGGTTTGGGAGGTGGGACAGGAAGCGCCGAGGCCAAAGGAGCTGATTCAGATGAAAGAGTAACAGGATGACGTGAAGGGGTATCAGATTGACAAGCACTAGAACGAGTTTCTGAAGTGGAACGAGTCAAAGAAAGAGGATCATTAGGTCGAGTACTTGGCACAGTAGATGGACTAGAACAACGTGAAGGAGTTCGAGTGGAAGATGCTTGATGATGACAACTTGGCCGAGTTTGAGTAGGAGGTTGGATTGGATAATCAGGTAAGAGTTCCACAATCGGAGAAGCTGGTTTAGAGACTGGTAAATTTGAAGTTTGAGTATAAATCCGATCACGACCATGATTGCTAGAAGGATGATGAGTGGTGGTAGGAGTATGAGTAGGAGTACTTGGAGTTGATTTCTGATTTGGATTGGGAGTTGGAGGTCAAGTGGAAGTAGGAGTGAGTTGTGAATCTGTTTTCGATGGTTTTCCAGAACTGATCAGAGTGTAGCAGGGCTGTATTACGATGAATGTATTACAGCCTGTACAAAAGTCACCAAAGTCCGAGCTCTTGCTCGGACTTTGTCTGTACGCTCATTGTATAGATTACAGGCGTAAGCAGCTGCAGCGAAGGAATGCTGAGCCATGTACGATGAACGCAAGTTATAGCGTGAATACCCATCCAGATAAGATAGTAACCACTTAGGTTATCAAGATGGGGTATGTGGACTAAATAAGACAAGAGCAGTCTAACTTTAGACTACTCTCTTAAATAGCTAGCACATCTTGAAATCATCGCTAACCCTTAGGAGTCATTTCTCTAGAGGTTGATTCAAGCAAGGAGTCATCAGGTAAGATGACCGAGCCTGATCAAGCAGAGCTCATAGCTTGAACGCGTCAGGACCTCACTCTACCGAGTGAGGTTGGTCCCTCATTCTCGACTAAGAGGAAGACCTTCCTTTCTTCACGTTCTACTTGGATTTCGTTGTAATATAAATAGAGACCTTTTGATCACTGGGAAATACAATCTCCAGTTCACTTAGTTCAGAACAACTCATATTTTGGAATCCTTGCGCCTATTGTCCCATTGCCTACTTTCCCTCTGATTCATTATCATAGTACTAATTCACCGGTGTACTAATTTACCAAGTGTTGGCTAGTGTTGGTCTTTTAACTCCAGGCGCATCAATTGAATCTGATCAATTGATCTCAATTGATCAATTGATTGATTGATCAGATTCAATGAATCATCGATCAATTGATCAGATTCAATGATCGATTGATCATTGATCAATGATCAATTGAAACCGCACCATCGATCAATTGGAGTGATGCGACGATGGAATCAAAAATTAGAAGTGATTCCACTATTGCATCACTCCAATGGAGCAATGGTGCGATTGAATAGATTCAAGTTAAATGGAATGTTCTGTTCTCTTTGCTCTCCTTCCCCATTGCACTTCCTCCTTCCATTTTTTTTCACTAAATTGAACACAAAGTACACCATTTTTCTCTATTTCAACATTTCCCCCCTATCTTGCTGTCTCTTGGCTTCGTTATTATTGGCTTCCCTTCATACTCCTTCTGAATCTGGTGTGTACGGCAAGCACTTGTGCTACTGTTGACCATTACCTGTCAGTCTGGTGTGTACGGCAAGCACTCGTGCTACTGTCGACCATTCCCTGTCAGTCTGGTGTGTACGGCAAGCACTCGTGCTACTGTCGACCATTTCTTTTCTTGGAGAATGTTGGGGAGTTGACAATTCGGATTCCACTTGATTGCAAGAACCGGGTTTCTGGCTTTCTATCTTCTTTCTATCTTGATACTGATTTCTACTGGTTCCTATTCCATAGTGTCTGATTCATAGTGTCTGATTCAGTTTCCAACAAAGCTTACAAGAATGCAAGACGCAACACCTACAATAATGCTAGACGGGCCAAAGACAATGATGCGATATGAGGTGAAAGTGGCTTATCTAGTAAAACCAAAATTGTAAAGTTGTCCCAAACTGCAGAAGAAGCTGAACCGTATCTCTTCCATGAAGGTAACATGAACCCACTAACCCCCCAATTGTGATATTAACCCACTAACCCCCCAATTGTGATATTAACCCAAACTGACAAATTCTTCTCTTCTCTTCACTGAAGGCGATTTGGCCTTGGTCAGAAAGAGACACACAAAGTTGTCTTTTCTGTCAGAAAGAGACACACAAAGTTGTCTTTTCTGTCAGATTTATCGACCTGAACAAAGAGCCTGAGGAGTTTGTCAATGAATTAAAAGAAACTGTTTCTATTGTCTACAAGCACACAACTGCTCGTAATCTTGTGCTCAAGAACCATGCCGTTGTAGCTTTGCCGGAAAACAAAAGGAGCGGTGAGATGTATGCAATGGGAATCACCGGTGGTTGTTCTGATGGAACCAAGGCTGGTTTGTCTTCAATTCATTTTTTATTTTTCTTTTGTATATGTCTTGGTGATTATTTTTTTTGCAAATTTATTCTAGCACCGTATTGTTTGAACTCAACACACGGTAGCAGCACTACTTTGATTGCAGAGGACAATGCCCAATTAGATCTTTTACCTAGAGTTGAACAATTTATTGGCGACTTGTTCATGCAACAATGTACTCTCTTTTATGGATGTAATCTTCGAGTTTCTGAAATCCTGAATGTCCCATCCTTTGCTTCGACATCACCTTTTACCCAACCCAATGGTGTTTCCTACGGTGGTAGTCTTGTTTTGACTCGTGACCAGTTTGTCAATGCGCCACATAACGACAAGGACTTGACCGACTACGCTGTTGGTCTCTTTGGGACTGTCGATCGAAACACTGGAATTCCCATCCATCTTCCTGAAGGAGTACCTCACCGGGTGATTATTCGAAATTCTCATATGCGATTCCCACAGTACAATGCAGAGATAGTGTTAGGACAACCAAATATTATTGTACTTTTGACCTGGAATGTCAGAGTGAAACACCACACCCTACGCTCAACAACTCACTTCCAAGATGGTACGATCACCGATCCTAAAACTGCGAAAGTCACTCAAATTGGCTCTTTGATTCAAGTGAACAAAAAATTAGCTGACCAGATGCGTGATTTTTATGTCCCAAGGGACAATGAGGAGTTTGCGGTAATATCACCTAAATACTCTTCATCACAGGAGGAGTATAGTAGGAAGCAAGCCGGAGCAAGAAAGTAGTGACATCTTTTGTTTTCTGTTTATCCTATCTTGTTTTCTTTTATTTCTTCACATCATACACGTCCAATTTGTTTACTTTTGATTGCTGGTCTGTTATCTTGTTGTCTTTTGTTTCTTGTTACCTTGACCTATGCAAGCCAAAAGAACCCCCTTGTATGAAAATTTCACAACAAAGATGAATCCTTGTGGAGCCTGAATCCAAATATACGAGAGAACTTTGAAAAAAGTTGAATTGTACAACCTTATTGGAAAATGAAGAAGAAGAAGAAACAGCAAATCGTGAGAGTGAGAGGAAATTGGAATTTAAATGAAGGTTCTTCTTCTTCTTCACCATCAACTCAAGAATGTTGTTAAGGATTTGTTTTTCATATTTTTTGTTAAAAAAATTGTTTTGGTCATAGCATTTTTGTTTTTTGATTGGTTTACGAAATGGATAGATGAATCAATGTTACATTCTTTTTTATTCACAGGTAATCTCGCATGAGTACATAGTCATTGACTGGATAAAGCTTCTTTGAAGTTACAATTTTTGGAAGTTTGAAAAACGTCAATTTAATGATTAAATGTACAATTATTTTTCATATGCTGCGACATAGCTCGCTCAGTTGGGAATCTCCTTGGGCAACTAGTTGATTGGCATTCAAATGTGTTGAAACCTCCTATTGGCTGGTCTGTATCATTCAACGCTCCTGGATGGGTGCCACATTGATGGACTTTGAACTGTTTTTTTCCGTTAAAACTTTTTGGGCAGAGGGGGCAAATGAATAAGTTGAAACCCTCTTCTGGCTAGTAATGAGTTTTGCAAGAATGATCTCGAGCCTGAGAAAAACTTTTGAATTCTTTGTTGCAAATTTCACATTCAAAACTGTTTGCAATTTGATGAGCGGCTTCTGTAAAATTGACCAAAGTATGAATGTTTGCATTTTCCTGATTATCAAAAGATTTTGAGACTCACTTCGATGGGTTACAAGGCTAGTTTGATTCTCAAAGTCTCGCCCGCAGATTTCACAACTCAATCCAACTCAATCTGTTTCACAGGGAACAATCTTAATTTAGACATGACAAGCTTTGAGATTGGAAATGAGAAAGAAATGTAGTTACATTGTAAGCCACGTTTTAATGTCAAAGTAGGATGAAAAGAAGTCAATTGTGGGTCATGTGGTGGTCTTTGTAATCTGTTTGCCTTGTCTTGAGCTCTTTTGGAAGTAAGAAGATGAGTTTCAGTAATCAGATCAATCAGCTAGACCTTTTCAAGAAGAAGCTTGTCTGGGGCCATACCGGAGAAGTGAATCTGGAACACTTCCAGGTTCCATAACATACACATCTCGAGAAAAATCATTATACATTCCAATTGCATAACCATGAACCTTTCTGCCACATACAATGTCGTTGTTCATGGCGTGATGGGCGAAAGTAGAGAAATGATATATGAAGTGGGGATTGGTTTTGGGGATAATGTCTTGAGCATACAACTCTCTGAGATCATACATTGAAATGGTCTTGCTCCCACGGCGAGCAGCGTAGTGGTTGAGGAGCACATCTATATATTTGTGTGAATATGTTGAGGTTGAGATCCATTGTGAGAAAATGAACAAAAAAAATAAACTCTTGACACAATGATGATGATGATGATGATGAGAACGTTGTTCAAGATTAATTGTCAGACAGATGAACCAGGTAAATGTAATGTGAGGAAAGAAAGTAGTCAAGCCACTTGATCTCGAAAACCATTTTGAAACCTTTGAAAGATTTATTGTAGAGTGGGAATCAGGGAGTGATGATCTTTGGTTGCATCTCTGAATCATCTAGAGATCAACACCTGACAACACATCTCAGCATTTCTGAATAAGATCAGTCGCATGATATATCTTTGACTAGCAAAAGGGGGATCTTGGATGATTGGAACAAGTTCTCTTCCGGATATCAGTATTGTTGACATTAAAAGAAACTGAATGCTCAAAAATTTCTTTCTTCTTTTTTATACCTTGTTTTCATTTGTTTGTTTGACTATCTCTTGCAAAAAAATCATAGGAAATTTTAGTATTCCATCAATTGAGTGAATATTTTTCTTCATTTGATTCATCCATGAGAGTATGTATCACCACTGTTGGCGTGCAAATACATAAATAGTCTTTATGATGAACGTTTGCCAGTCTCAGCCTGTATAGCAAATTGTCACAGTGATTGACAAAACCATTGCTCTGTAAACACTCAACAGTCAAAACCAAGTACTGCCCAAATGATGAGCATATGTAAGCCGTTCTCAAGATCTTTGGTTTTTTTTTGGAGCGTGTGGGTTATCATATGATGATTGATCACATCAGTCCATGACAGTACAAGACAATTGCATCGGACCTTTTTGATCTGTGTTACTGGCTCATATGTGTGAAGTCATAGTGCAAATCAAATGATTATGAGATCACTGTCGATTGAAAAAGTTGAATCAAGGTTTTATACAGAGTGATGTCAGCAACTAAGAATGACGTCATTCTTGATTTCCAAGAGGTCAAGTGGTTTGATTAGAAAAAGTGAAAGCTCTCAAAAACCACATTTCATTGATTGATTGATTGATTGATTGAGCTGTCAAAAGTCATCCTTCTTTATTTCTTTCCTTGCATTCAGTTTACTTAGTGCATCTTCCTGACCTGGAAATTTTCTAAACAGAGTCCATCAATAACATCCACATTCTCCTTCTCACCATCATCGTTATTCACTTCGACTTTCCAAGCAAAACCGTATGTGTCGTGTTTGATAGATAAATAAAGTACAACTCTTCATCCTCCGCTTCTTCAGTTCATCCTTGTTAGAGACAATCTGCGCTCAAAAGACGGTATGTTGTCCTTTGCATTTGCTTTGTATTATCATTTCTCTTTGCAAGCAAGATAGACACCATGCTGACCAAACCTCCTGTCCACCTTCCAATGGGCTATCTCCTTTTGGATTGGATACAACATCACCAGAGCTTGATACTCGAATTGCCTGTATTGCCAGTAGGACAAGGACAAAGTGGACCATCAACAACATGCCGAAAGCCATAACTCCCAAAACTTACCAAAAACATGTTGTCTGGACCGAGGCAATGAAGCGAAGCCTGCTTGAAGCTGCCATCCTTCAAAAAATTGGAGCGGGTAAGCACAGTGCATGGAATGCAGTAACTACCCAATTCAATCCTACCTTCAAGGGTCAAAGCACCCAAAAGAAGCTGCGGTGTCAACTGGATGCGGTTAGTCTCTTCCATCACCATTGTTTCTACTCTTTGCTGATCAGTTGACGGTGGCAATCATTTTGCTACTCAGTTAAACCGACAATACGTCATCAACACCAAAACCCCGCCGCGGAAAACTGAGGCAGCGCTGCGGCAGCGCGGGGGTCCCGCCGCGCACCCAGTCTACTCAAATCTCCCTGGGGTGAAACCGCGCCGGGCCCCGGTTTTCCCTGGGGTCCGACCCGCCGCTGCCCAACTGACGGGACCCCAGGGGGAACCCAGGGGCCCAGTTTATCTCGTACTGTAGGGAGAGGTAGGTAGTCCCTTGACATCCAATTTTTGAACCTCATCAGTCTAATCATTTCAATCGTCCTTCCTTTGTATTCCATCTCTATTGGGAAACTAGTCAAGATGGATCGAATCAGGCCCAAAAAAGTAAGTGATACCATCAACTCTTTGACCTACGCACTCAATTCCTGACCCTAAGTTTTTTTTTCGTCCACAGTGGCAGTCATTTCATTCAACGTGCTCATCTCAAAACTCCATCTGTTCGATTTCCATCTATTCGATAGCAATCAATCTCAAGGATCATCTCACAGTCATTCCTCCAGTTATCGTTTTCCCACTTTTAATTAAATCCAATCGTTTCTCGTTATTGATTTTGACCCTCTCGAATCATCTTTCCTCAATTTCGATTGTTTACTTTATATATTACTCTTTCGCGATGCTTCGCCCGTCACATTTAGCTGTTCCTACATCTTCATCTGGAAATCTTGGAGTGCCACCATCTACACCCGCTCGCGAAATACGAACGCTAAGGACCCGCTCTCCACAACAACCCTCACCCGGATTTGTGTTGACCGGCTCAGATTCACGACACAGGATCACCAGAGAAGGCACAAACCCCTCATGTCCTACCAGCCCTACCGAAGAGCTGCCTAATCCCACTGGCTCAGGACAAAAACGTATACGTGAAGAAGATGATGCTAATGAACCTGAAGCCAGTACTAGTAAGAAAAAGAAAAGCAAAACAAAAGTGAGTTTTTGAGTGCTACTTTATAGATCGGTGCTCATTTTGGTTTCATTCCTCTTCCAGGCAACAAAAGATAAAACAGCTCCTTCTGTTGTTGATGTGGACCAGGACTCCTCTGGTGATGAAGTTACTGAACATCGTCCGGGTCAGTCCAAGGATGTTCAAGAGCTCCTTAAGTATTATGGCAAACCAAAACATTATAAGAAGGAGGTATGCATTTTCATTTAATTCTTCTTCGAGTTACTTTCAAAACGTTTGGTCCTTTTTTTCTAATTCATTGATTTTGTCTTTGATTCTTTCCAATATGTAGACTGGGCCATTCAAGCGACATTACCCGTGCAACTTTTGTGGTGAATGGTATACCCGTGGAATAAAATCAAACGACAACCTTTATGCTCATCGAGACGGCGATAAGGATCACAAACCTTGTATTAATCGTGCTAAGGCAATCAAAGCGGGATTGAAGCTTCCACAAATGTATCAGCAATTACAGAAGTCTGCCAATAAGCAGACTCCTGGTGGACAGTTCATGGACAGTTTCCTTGAGCGACCAGCCTTTTCGATCCATCTTCTCAATGTCCTTCTTGTCCTTTGGATCATGCGACACGCTCTCGCATGGTCACGTTTTTCGGACCCGATATTACGAAGTGCATTCAAGTTGGCCAACTTGTCAGCTGACATGAGGTCACCAACTTGGGCTGCACAAACAGCGAAGAAAGTTTATAAGGCCCTCCACTCAGAGGTTTTGCTAAAAGTCAAGGTTCGTTTTTCTCTTTTGATCTATGTTTGTCTTAATTAAACTGACCACGTAGCAATTCCGCAGTCTAACACCAGCCGCATATGGTTAGTCCACGATGTCTGGACCACCCGAGGCAATCGATATGCTTTCATAGCGTTGATTGCTTGCTACATCGACGCCGACTTCCGCTACCGCCGAGTTTTGCTGACCCTTAAAATGGTCGCCTGGAATCATTACGGTGCACTGTTGGCACGCCCGGTGGCTAGATACCTGATTCGTCACGACTTACATCACAAGATATGTTTCATTTCTTTTTAGGTATTCTTCATCATCTCTCAGTAAGATCGCCTAACTAACTTTTTTCTACTTTTACGTTCTAGGCCAAACAACGGACTCCGGGTCCAACAATATGACCATGGCATCCGAGATGTCAGCCATGTTTTCGGCCGCAGAAAACCCGGTTTTCTGGGACAGCTCCCGCCAGCACGCACGGTGCTATTGTCATGAATTAGCGCTGGTGGTGAAGGCTGGTTTGAAGTCATTATCAATTCAATCAGGCCATTCAAAACCTTCCACCGAACCAAATTTAGCGGTACCAATTCCGACTTTTCAGCTGAACGATGAAGCCCTTCAAGTCGATGTGGACTCAGCCGATTCAGACGTTGAAGATCCCTTGGATGAAGCTGATCAAGGTCCTCAGGATGAAGAAGACAATGCTACAAGTCCAAATCAAACAGACTCCGAAACACTTGATGGTAACATCTTTGCTACCGCGGTCCATAAGGTCAGTTATTTGCAACTCTTAAGCTGAACACTACTGACTCATATGAATACTTTCTTTTAGGTGGACACTGTCAGCAAGAAGATTGCAGGGTCTCATTCTCGTCGTCAAGAATTTAAGGGTCTTTGCAAGGAAGCCGGATTAGATCACCGGACCCCCATTGCTGGGTACGGCATCCGCTGGAATGTTATCTACAACTCCCGAAATCGCATGTGCGCTGCTCAAGAGGTGATTTGAATTTCTTTGAAATTAAACTTTTTACTTTGTGATGCTCATCGATTGCAAAATATATTAGATAGTAAACAAGATGTTAGCCACCGATCGGAAAAACACTAAATACTTTAAAGGGATCTTGATAAATGCTGATGAATGGGAAGCCATTGAGGCTCTCAATGAGATACTAGCGGTGAGTGAAGGAATCAATCAATAACAATTTGACTGCTTATTGATCAAATTTGTTTTGGTCATTTCATAGATTTTCTGCACAGGTACCAAGCGCATGGAGGGAGACTTTCCCTCAGGCGCTTTGGTGCTGGTAGAATACAATCGGATCAAGAACGCGCTCAACAAAGCTCGACAAAAAACGAAATCGAACCCGCTGAAGGCCATGATTGGTGTCATGTTAGATCAGCTCAACCCATACATTGACGAGGCTCTTTCCTGTGATGCCTTGGTATTGGCAACAGTGATGCACCCACGTTATTGGCTCGCCTTCTTCCAGAAGTATTATCCGGAACACAAAGACCGGGTGAACACTTTGGTTAACGAAGCATTTGCTTCAGCGTTGGATGAGGCTAAACAACACACTGAAGAACCTCCACCACCCAATGACCACGCTCAGCCTGTCGAAGACGACGACAATGACGGGTTCAATGACTTTACCGCCAGCTCTACCGTCAAACCAGTTCAAACGGCACGGGAAGCTGAACTGGAGTCGTATTTGTTAGGCCAGCGCGAGTATGACAAAAGTAAGAGCCCACTTGATTGGTGGAACGTAAGTAGATTTTCTTATCATCTTTCTTGCCTTTCTTGCAATGTGATTTGAACTGACATGTACTGTAATTCAATATTACAGGCAAATTCGGTCGTATTTCCTGTGCTTGCCACAATGGCACGTGATTACCTCGCCGTTTCAGGAACCTCTTGCGCGGCAGAGAGGGTCTTTTCGAGCGCTGCTGACGTTTGCTCACAGGATCGTGGTGGCCTCATCCCACCAACAGTTAGCAGATTAGTTTGTTCACGCGAATGGATCAAAGGTGATGTTGATCCAGGAGGTGAATATGGAGAAGCTATCAAGTATATCAGAAAATATTTAGAGGGTGAGGCAAAAAAGAAGAAGAAAAAAGAAATTGTAATCATAGATTAAAAGCAGCGATTATGGTTGTACTTTGAATTACGCTTGCCAGCTTGAAAAAAAAAATCAGTCATTTCATTTTTTAAAAAATTCAGGTGCAAAAAACCCAGTCTGCGGCGCGCTGCGATTGTCTCAAGCGCGCCGCGGGCCCATTGATTCCTTTTGCCACTGCGGCAGCGCTGCGGTGGGGTCCCCTGTAAACTGGGGTGGATCGCGCCGCTGGCTCCGTGGCCCCAAAATCCCCCGCGCTGCGGCGGGATTTGGGTGTTGACGTCATTGTGCAAGAATTGATAAAGGCTCCAGGTGCTAGTTGGGATGAGTCAACTCAGATGGTCACAGGGACGCCAGCCTTTTGGACCAACTATATTAAGGTACATTATCATCCTCTGATGGGGACACTATTCTTGCTGACTAGCTTTGAAATCTGTAGACCCATAAAAGTGGTGCTCAGGTCTACCAGGCAAAGTCTTTTCCACTTTACCCACTCATGAATGAGTTTTTTGGCGAGCACAACACCCCTTTTCCATGCTCTGAATGCGACCAGCGCTTCCATACGGACAATCGCCTGACCATTCATGTCAGAGATCATCATAGTGGACTCACTTTTGAATGCTCCGATCCCGAATGCCACGAAACCTTTCGTACAAACGCACTCATGACCCAACATCTCATAAAACATGTACTCCCTGTCGAATGCTCCAATCCCGAATGCAACGATCACTTCCGTAGCCTTAGACTGATGAAGAAGCATGTCCGAAATAGTCATGGTGCACCCACTTTCGACTGCTTTGATCCCAAATGCCCCCGAAGCTACAATTCCGCGTACAGAAGGAACGAACATTACAAAGCCCATCATGGTGCCCTCACTATCAAATGCTCCAATACCAAATGCTCCAGAATGTTCCGTATCAGTTCGCAAATGAACAAGCATTTCCGAACTAGTCACGGTGCAGCCACTATCGAATGCGCCAATATCGAATGCGACCATATGTTTCGTACTATGGGACGAATGGAGCGACATGTCAGCAGAATTCATGGTGCATGCACTATCAAATGCTCCAATACCGAATGTGACCAACTCTTTGGTACCAAGGGACAAATGAACCAACACGTCCAAAGACATCATCCTGCTAATAATCCTATCGAAAAACTTGTTGAATGTGACCAAACCACATGCCTCCAAAAATTCTCCACTCCCTTGTTCATGAGAGAACATTACATTCGAGACCATTCGAACTCTTTGGCCTCAAATTTTGCTTGTAAAGACGGCGGTTGCTCTCAAGAATTCGAATCTCTAGAAAGGATGTACCAACATTTTCGAAAAGCCCATGGTAACCAACCTGCAAACCAGTCCATGCTTTCAGTCATGCAAAGCGTATATAATATCAATTAGTCATTGATTTCTCTCAAAGCGATAAAGCAGGCAGCTCAAATAAAATTCAATAGTTGTTGGTATTTCATCTTTTCTCATTCCCATAGTGTTCACAATCGAAATTTCTCTTTGATTCTATTTCTCTAAGTGATAATTTTTGCACCCACCCGCCCTTTATCCCTGTTGTTACGTTTGTCTTTTTGCCTATTGCTCTTTATTTTGGTTTTGTTGCGCGTGTTATATTCTATTTTTTACTCTACTTTTATTATCTTACTTATTATTTGGTTTAAGAATTGGTCTGTTTATTGGTATTAATCGGTATATCTTTTTTCATTTTTTATTCTAAAAAAAACCGAGTGTGTGTTGTTTTGTGTCTTGTGGTTCATACTTTTATTTTTTACTTTTTATTTTTCATTATTATTGTCGCGGTTCTTCAAAGTTATGTGTAGCCAGTGTGTTTTTCAGTCTCATTGTTAGCGTAGTATTTTTATGGGCCGCTAGCCACCCGTAGGGTGTTCTTATTTTGTTATCCAAAATTTTATATCACCCTCGGCGATTTGCCTTGGGTTTCGCCCAAACATGTGCCTGCTTTAGCATCTTTTATACTAAGTTTTGTGAGTTTGAAAACCTCCCATTTCAATAACATCATGTTTTCTCCCAATGACTTTGGTTTCTATTCAGTCAAAAAAGACTTATGACATCAGGAATTGCTTTTAATGTCATTCTTTTTTTTGTTTTTTCCTTTTATCGAGTTCCTAAACGTGTGATCATGAATCACAATGGTGTGACCAAAATCACACATTTGTGATCTTAAATCACAATTGTGTGAGTTTGATAAAAGTGAATGAGGCTGTGCAAATGTGATAGAGTTTTTGGGATATCAAGGGCTTTTTTAGTTGTAGTGATTGGATTCTTTCCGAATCATAAGATGTAGTATATCACAACTTTCCAAATGATTCGACTGCAAATGCCGGTCAAAGAACATTCACGGGATTCATGTTTGTGGCAGTTTTCAATTAGTACAATATAAAAACACCAAGACAAAATCTACATCCACATCCAGTCAGTGTGATCGTAAGCTAAGAAAACAAACCCGCTAAGATTCGAATTCTACAAAATTAAAAATTCTAAAAAAGAAATTCCAAAGTGGAGTGATCCGTGATGATTTAGAAGGGTGAATTTTAATGAGTACTTACTACCACTTGATTTAAGAAAGTATTGTAAGTTTAATATTTAATTTTGATTGAAGATGGCCTTGAATGACTGAATTGAAATTGTAGAAGATAGATCACTTGATAACGCGCTTTGTTAATGGACAGCACTATTTGGCGCCCGCTCCTTTGCAACCCGACGCCCGTTTTTTGGATAGTCAGCTTGTCGCCGTCCGTTTTTGCTTAAAACCGGGCTGCAACTGATTCAAACCGGATTCAAACCGGGCAATGACATTTTTTTTGTTTTTCGATTTCACAAAGAAACATGCAACGTCTTTACTTTCATCATGTTTTTGGTTTTGGGGGAACAGAACAAGAACAGAAGCTTGTATTGCACGAACACTTGTATTTATTGTATCTATCTCAAACAACCTTTTGTGTATTGTAACTTGTATCTTAAAGTTAGTTAAACAACCTTGTCTTCAATTTGAATTCCAAGAAAAAAAAACAAATCCGTGTTTGATGACAAAGACAAACAAAAGAAACGAAAGAAAAACATTGAAATAGAGATGGAATGAGAAATAGAGGTGTGTATAAATTGACCAACTAACAAACTAATGGAAACGTCTTTCAGCAGTCCACCTATCCATTTGAGGTTGGTACTTTTCAACCCAAGTAGGTATCTTAGTACTGTCAAGGAAGGCGGAGTTGCGGTACTTACCAAACAATTCTGGAAAAGGCAGAAGTGAAATGTCTCTGGCCTTCAAGGAGACGAAATGCTCTCCATCAATGAAGGCCAGCACAATCGGAATTTGGTCGTTTGGGGGTGTTCGATAAGGAAAAAATGTGTGGCTGTTTGCTGCGATGGGGTCCAATAATATAGCGGGACAATCATAAGCACTTGCAATGACGAATCCGAGGTATGGCATCCGTAACCAGTAAGACCTGGAACATTTGATGTCGCGGCAATCGAGTCGAATCAAGAGGTCTTGAACAACTTCAGCAGCAAATGATTGCTGAAGTTGCTGGCTTCTGGTCCTCAAAGGTCGAGTTGGCGCCGGAGATATAAGGTTTTGATGATCTTTCGAATTTGAAACAAGCTCTCTGAGCAACGTTGATCGAACATCCCAAAATGAGGCTTCTGAATAATTCCCAACCGCCTCTGCAATAGCATAGTAACCACAGTTGCCATACGCAGGCGGATCAAAGGTCGACTGAAAGTAGGGCACCATGAAACCAGGAAGCTGATTGAAAATTTTTTGATCTTGGCGGGAGCGCTTTTCTGAAGAGGTTTGAGATTCTATGTGGCCATGCTCAATTATTTCCACACCTTCTTCAATCGAGAACACCACGTTACCAAAATCTCGGCTTGTTTCAAGGGTAGTCTTAACTTTTGGATCCCCAATTGGCAGGGCCAGATCCTCGGCGATAAGCAATAAGGATACCTCGGGAAGAAGCACACGGCGCATGAAGTAATCTGGCGAGAACGGTGAGGCATTGCTCGCATGTAGAATCGGCCCAGACGCTTGAGACAGGAACATCTTGGTCAGTGTCTTGATGATCACCTCTTGACCGATTTGGCCATAACTGAGAAGCAAGGCAATTGTGTCAGTATGCAATCACGGAAACGGCAGAGCTCTGAGCCAAACAACTCACTAGCCAGGGTATTCAACCTGAAACTCCTCAAAATCCCCAGACAAACTGAACATCGACGGTCCTTTTTTTTTGAAAGTCTTCTTCACATCATCCAGAAATGTAGAAGGTTTTCTTTGATCAATCACCTGAACAAGATGATTGGTATGCTTTTTAATTCGCCTACATGAGCACTTTAGATTAGCAGACATAATTCAAGGAAAGCAAACCGAAAGTACTCACTCCGCCAGGATTCCAAAGTCGATTGCTGTAGGCCACCCGGCTTTGATTCCCTCTGGAATAACAAATTTTTCGACCCGATGGAGATCACAGAAAGATGCTGTTTGGGGCCACTACAGCATTTCGGTACGTACTAATCAGCACAAAGGTTAATGAATCATATTGAAAAGGGATGACACGTACAGCCACATTTGGAATTGCAGATAATGTGGCTTTCAGCCTAAGAAGCTTGTCAGATGGTTCTGAAGGAAACGGCTCTTCACAAAAAGGACACAGTGAGTCTTGTGCATCATCGTGTCAATGTTGAGGCCCTTCGCTCTCTTCTGAAATACTCAAGCTATGAAAACTGAAGTCCGATTCAATATCCGAGGGTCGAAAAAGGACTTGAACTGCTGGTGTCGGATCCATCACCTCATGATTCAAAGATACAGCTGGTGCAATGTCCTTTCGTCCTTGTGGCGGGGTTTGAGCCAATAAACCTTTTGTGGGACAATAATTGGCGCAATGACCCGGCTGTTTGCAAACACTACATTTGTAAGTTTTTGCAGCAGGACGTTCATTCAGTTTAGAACCTTCTTTTAACTGATCTATCGATACCAAGTGTTTTGAAATAAGGACCGGTTCCAAAGTTTTAGGCGATGGGTCAAGAGATTGAGGTGGTCCAGAAGTGGAGGCGTTAAGCGAAAAGTTGGGAAGAGATTCACCAGTTGGTTGTTCATTGGTTGTAACTTTAGATTTTGATTGAGAAGGTTGAGATTGAGATTGAAAAGCAAAAGTAGATTGAGCAGCTTGAGAAGTTTGAGTCTCAGTTGTTTGAGAATCAGAAGCTTTGCCCTTTCCTTTGTTCCTGGTTTTTTTTTGGGAGACCTTGACAGCTTCCGCTTCCTCTGCTCTTTTCATCCTTTTGGCTTCTTTGGCAGCTTCCTCGGCTTGCTCTTCTTCTTCCAACTCGAAGTCAGACTTCCATCGACCATCCTTCTGAGATGAGGTGGCCTGTTGTTTCTTGGTGTTCCGAGGACGGCCTCGGGTGTTCTCTTTGACCTTGGCGTCTTGAATTGGGATCAGTGAGTACCGGCCTGTTTCCAACTTCGCGATTTCTTCATACAACTTGCGGAGAGAGTGCTCTGGCAATTCGATCAGTTGCTCTAACTTCGATTTCATGGCTGATTTGAGGTCATCGTGACACCCAGGAGGTGCCAAAAGGGTCGAATGCCATTGTGGATGTACCAAGCTGGGCGATAAGACGTTGGAATCTTCTAGAGCCCGAGCCAGCTCATGAGAGCATGGCAAACCCCACGCGCCTTGAAAAGACTTGGTACATGTCCTTTCAAAAGATGCCGGAATGAGATTGTACTGAGATTTGATTTTCTTGAGGGCAAAGTGTGATACCACACGATGAAGATCTTGAAAAGAATCAGGCAGTTTTAGTAGCGTTTTTTGGTTTTCGACTCCGGTGGATATCATGATCTCCACATACTGTAAGTCTCCAGCGCGTTTAAATGCCATGAAACAGGTGATGAAGTCGTTGTTGCTACCACGCAGGAACCCCTTGATGCGATAGTGTCCACCTTTGACTTGTGATGTGGAAGAGTTGCCGAAGTGGGGAGCTTGATGAGATGTGAAAAGAGAAACGAATTTTTCCGTTTGGTAAAGCCACGTCTTCTGCAAGTAATCCATTACGTCGTGTTGTCGTGCCATGGAGGTAACTTCTGCGAGGTTCTTATCGTA